CAAACCAAACCAAATCTATTGTAGCCACTGCAATGATCGAACCTGAATGTTATAAGCCCTTTATAAGTGTTATAAGCCCTTCAAGCTCACCACTAAGCCACTGCGGGTAACATATAATGTTAGCACAGTGAACCTTGTTGCTGGTAAAAGTTTTAGTTATATTTTTATTTAATTGCATACAAATAAAACAAATCATAAGCGTTTAATAGCAGAGCTTGAAACCTACACTTTGATGAAGGTTACTTTACAGGTTTAAGCTTGCAGTGTTATAGGGATAGCTAGATAAAAATGTCAGTATTTAAGAGATTAGACTTGATTATAAGGATTGTCGTTCATAGACATGCTGACAATATGGTTCCTGAAAAGGTAAAACTGACTTAAAGATTAATTACAGAAAACAGTTTCGTATTTTATAACGTACGGGTGGAGTAAATAATTTAAGCATCTTTGGCTCAATTCTTTACTAACTTATCAACGTTGTTTTTCATGAGTGTAGCTCAAGTGTGAAACTATTTCATTGTGGTCACGCTGCAGTAAGATTCGAAATGGGTCACTGAGAAAAATTTAGCTTCCTGACAAGGGTGTGTGAAAATCTCTGGGATCATCGTATACCCTCGGATTCATGGTTTTCCTTCTTAGTAAGGAAACCTAATAATCTCGTAGATCAACCATTTTGATTGTAGGACCTAAGGGTCAACGTTGTCCAGCGTTTGTAAGGAAATTCAGTAATATCTTGGATATTACCGTTTTGATCGTATACCCTAAGGGTCAATAGTGTCCAGTCTCTGTAAGGAAACGCAGTGATCTCTTGAATATACCGTTTTCATTTTATACCCCTGGAGTTTTTGCTGTCTCGTCTTTGTAAGGACACGTAGTAATTTCGTGGATCAACCATTTTACTTGTATACCCAAGGGGTCTGTATTGACCCGTTTTTGCAATGATATACAGCAATCTCGTGAATCAACCGTTTTTATATTATGTCCCTGGGGTCTGCGGTGTCTTTCTCATCTTTGTAAGAAAACATATTAGTCTCGTGGTTTGGAAAGAAATGTAGTATTAGAGACTATGGTATTCTTAAAGCTTATTATATGACTTACAGTGTTTATTAAGCCAGGAGGGAGAGTTCCTTATTGCTGTACTACATTAATTAATAAACGTAGCTGTTTCCCTAGAACTGTTGGTTGAACAGCATAAAGATTATTCTTTATCGCTTCGTTGTAACGTTTCGGTATTTGTTCTTCTAGAATCTTAACATGTGAAGAATCAACCTGAATTTTTTAAAGTAGTTTATTCATAATTTTCAAGTAGGGAGGTGTTCTACTGTAGTTCTATATTGATTCATGTTAAGATTAACTGTAAATTATTATAATGTTTTATTTTAACATTTTCTGAAAGAAAAAGTACACTCAAGGCTATCCTTACTTTAATTCTTATACACAATTATTCAAAATTTTGGGAACTGTTTATGGAGCATTATATTTTCCATTCCAGTCATAGTACCTGAAGACGGTATATTAAAAAATAAAAATTAATCTTCCGATAATGCTTGAGACATTATCTAACCCAAATAGAAGCTACATTTGCTGTGATTTATCAGACTCGAATAACAGCAGATTTAAAATATCTGATTACGCTCCTATGAAATGTTTGCAAACCCTTGTGATTTTTGCAATGATAAAGAATGTTTCGAAATATTCAGCTTGTTTTAAGCTTGTGCATTTTATTACTTATGATAAGCTACAGCGTTCGAAAAATTTAACTCTGAGCTTGTTTTCATTGCTGCGAGTTCCTTGCAATGACACTTAAAATTCGGAAAAACTTATAAGTTTTATTTGACAATAAAAATAAAAAAGTGGCAGTAAGTAATAGTAACACATCTCCCAAAAATATACTTCGAAATTTATTTTTATTTGACAACATAAACATTCACCTCTCTTTGCTTAACCATCACATATTGCCATCGTTATATTATAATGTACTAAAAAAACGCCAAATATTATTTTCCACGACATTTTTTCAAACACTTTTCGTGCATGAAGGGGAAAATAAGCTATTATTTTCAATAAGATGGTCGTTAGTAAAAATATAATGGCACTGAACCTCAGGAAAGGATAAAAGGAAAATAGATTTACGGTACGAAAAACTTATGCTAGCGTTTTTCTCTTTAGATGAAAGGTATTATTATCTATTGATAATTCCTATGTATCTTGGAATATTTCTAAAGGTCCTCTTTTATAAAAGAAAAACAGATTGGTAACAAATGTGGAAAAGCTACCCTATCCCCGAACTGGCTATCTACATCAAATGGTATTTAAATTGGCAACTACTTACTACCTTGCAAATTACAGCTGTTTAATGTTTCGTCAACAACTTATCTAGAGCATGACTTATAACTTAAATGTTATGATAAAATGAACAGGTTATTATTAAAGTCCAAGAAAGAAAGATAGTAACTTGGTAACAAATAAAGCGATAATTTAAAATATATTTTAGTATAAGTAAACATGCCACGTACTGAGTTTATTTCATATCCAGTACATGTAAAGTGTCTTCTCAAACAAGCTGTGTAATACAACTGCATCACGTTTTCTGATGTTAAAATTATACATGTATTTTCCTATTATACAAGAGAATCGTGCGTCTTATTTTAAGTACTGGTGAATGATCTAAATATAAACAATACTTCTATAAATTCTATTCATTGTGTAAAATAAAGTAACACATCACACATATAAGGGAATGATGGGCAAAGTCCTGATAAGGATTACTTGACGACATTGTTACTTCAATACCACAAGGTAGTAAGTAAGTAGCGCATGTTTATAGCAAAATGTCGAACTTTGAGGATATTTTATCTGACTAGAAGGTGTAAAGTTTAAACAGAGTTCCTGTCTGGTGAAACTTTTGATAATTGGAATTAATATAAAAACCACCTACAATTATCGTAGTCTTCTTAAAAGTATTCGCCATTGTATATAAGACTGAGTATATTTTTGGTAAATAAGATAACTTTCTTTCAAATTGGTCCTAGTTGTAGATATATTGTTAAAACAACTTAATCGACAACAATGTGAAACTTGCAAAAAAAAGTTTAAATTATTTAATGAAAAATGTAATTTTAAAGTAATTTTTAAGTATGGAAGTTATGATAGCCGCTTGTTTAATCTGGATATTTTATTTTGCAGATAATTACAAGAAAACTAAGCGCGTCTAGTCAGCTTTCGGCCACATATTTATTCTAGTCCAACATGGTGATTTTAACAAGGGTAAGTTACACGTGTTCATGATTTTGATGTTTATGGGTAATTGTGACATGTTATCTATTTATTTTATTTAAATATATATATATATATATATACTTATCTTAATCATGATGTAGCACAATATATACTTGTTGTTCAGATGGCTCACACCATTAAAACAATCCTAAATATTGAACTGAAAGCTGAAAGAAATTTTTACTTTTAATCTTTGATTCACAATATCAAAAACTTTTAAACCTGGAGCCCAAGAATACTATTTTAGACTTGATTTAGATGTATATTCCGAAGAGAAGTATATTATTAATTTTTCTTCTAGTTTTTACTTATTTTTCAATAAAATAGTTCATGATTAAGGACAAGTTAGAGTGTTATATAAACCACAAATATTTAACTTTTTTTATTTACCACTGATAAAAGAAAGTCCACTTTCCGAAGGCGTTCAGGTTGCTGGTTGTTTTTCGTGATGCTATAAACCAAATCTTTATAGCTTCAACAAGATCATGGAATGTTTGTTTTTTCGAGCAAAACGTTATATTTACTCTCAGTACTTAACCTAAAAACTCTCTTCACGGATATACACATAATTATTGATCCAAAATAAGATTTTTTTTTCTGAAGAAAAACGGTATTCTGTCATACCTTTACTTGACTATTTCCTAGTAACAATGCATTTGAAATTTCGGTTTTGTTGGTGTAGTATGTGACAATTAAGCGAGCACGCAAAACATATAACCTATATTAAAGCCAGTTTATGTCACGTCACGCTTAAATCTTCGACATAGGAAGAGTCATAAAAGCCAAAATGCATTTATCCAGATAGAATAGTTCGATTACTTCCAGCCCGTTACGATTTTAGTGACGGGGGTGCGGGGGGGCCTTGAAGGGGGGCTGCCGTAAAACCTTATAAGTGTAGTGAGTGTTGGGGTCACCTAGCCTGGAGCCAAGCGCATAAAAATTTATCAAGAACGTAAAAATATCGATTCAGTTTTAAACTTAAATCGTTTCTGAATTAAGCTATTTTCTGTTATATCACCAGTATTTTTAATTAAAAA